GCAGTGTTTCTCAATCTTGTCAACTTGAAGATGTCTGGACTTCAAGTTGACAAGATTGAGAAACACTGCTGTAGATCACAGACTTCTTAAAGGTAGCATCCAGCTGGGTGGGAAAACGTGCTGTGGATACTCACCTTGCGTCGTCACTTCCATGGTCTCCAAGGGCGCAGCTACCGGTTCGGCACTCTGCTCTGGGACCTCGACCGTTTCCTCCACTTCCTCCTCTGGCTCCGCCTCCTCTTCCACAGCAGGTGCGGCCACTGGGACAATCACCTCCTCGGGCTTCACCTCTTCGGGTTCAGAAATGGGGCTGATATCCGATTCGTGCTGTTCCTCCGCCTCTTCGGCCTCTTGCTTCTCTGGGGTTTCAATCCCGGCAGGTATTGCCTGCTCTTCCGGCTGAGCAATGGGGGATTCCATGGCCGGTTCTGGTTCACACGGGGGCACTTCGGGCATTGCCTCCAGCAGCTCCTCCTCTAAGACCCCATTCGACTCCACGGCCTCCCCTTCGGCCACCTCCTCCTCGGGCGGAGGAGAAGGAACGGGAGGGGCGCACGGCAGCGTTACGGGAGGCTCCTCGGGTTGAAGCGCCTCCTGTTGGGTAACCACTGTCTCTTCTTCTGCTACCGCCTCTTCATCCACCTGCGTTTCTGGGGGTGGCTGGGAAGGAATCTCCAAAACAGGGCTAGCAGCGACCTCTTCCCGAGGTTCTGTGTCCAAAATGATGGACTCCGGAGGGGGCACAAGGCCTCCTGGCACTGTAGTGGTGGTACTAACGGGCTCGAGGATGTCTTCAGGGACCTCCAGTAGCTCCTCTCTAGTGTCCACAGCAACAGGGCTCTCTGGGCGCACCAGCGTCACAGTGGCCGGCTGCACAGGCTCCGCCTCGGTCAGGGGCGGAGGGGGAGATGGGGAAGCCGATTTACTAGTCTCCAAGGATACCGGTTTACTTACTACTGGGCCGGTCTTGGAACGGTCATCTGGTGGGAAAGAGAAAGAAGAGGGTTGAGTCCTCCGGAACACAACAATTTATTTTCCGTATTTTTTCAGACTATAAGACGCACCAGGGTTTCGAAGAGGTTCCGTATTTTTCGGGGGTATAAGAATCTCCCTTTTCCCCACAAAAAAGAGGCTGAAAATCTGGTTGCGTCTTATACACTGAATGCAGCATTTTTTGGCCTCCAGAAACCCTGCCCCCTTCACCAAAATGGCCTTGAAGAGGCTTTAGGGGGCTTTCTGAGAGCTCCTGGGAGCTGGGGAAGACAGAAATGAGTGAAAAAAGGACCGGTTTTTTGCCCAATTTGCCCCCCCCCCCCAGGAGTCTTCTATAAACCTCCTAAAGGCTATGTACAGTAACAATAGCAATAGCACTTAACACTTATATACTGCTTTACAGCCCTCTCTAAATGGTTTACAGAGTCAGTATATTTGCCCCCAACAATTTGGGTCCTCATTTTACCCACCTCGGAAGGATGGAAGGCTGAGTCGATCTTGAATCTGGTGAGATTTGAACCACCAAATTGCAGGCAGCCGGCAGATGTAGCCTGCAGTACTACACTCTAACCACTGCGCCAACGTGGCTCAGTATTCCTCACTCCTGTCTTAGCTGACTCATTTTAAAAGAGTCTGCCTCCTAGTGGCCATAGGCTAGAAAGCACATAGGATCTCTTTAGAGATCGATAGTCCACGATTCAGAACAGTTCATTTAGTAACTGTTCAAAGTTACAACAGCAATGAAAAAAGTGACATGACCTTTGTCATAGTCAAGACCTTTGCAGCATCCCCATGATCGTGTGATCAAATTTCAGATGCTTGGCAGCTGTTTCATACTTACGACCGTTGCCGTGTCCCAAGGTCGCGTGAGCCCCTTTTGCGACCTTCTGACAAGCCAAAGTCAATGAGGAAGCCAAGATTCACTTAACAACCTTGTTACTAATTTATCAACTGCAGCGACTCACTTAACATAGGTGGCCAAAAAGGCCGTAAAATGAGGCAAATCTCACTTAACAAATGCCTTACTTAACAACAGGAATTTTGGGCTCCATTGTGGTCGCGGGTTAAGAACTACCTGTATTCCCTTTCGGATTCAGTAATGCAAAACAAAGCATAGAAAGGGAGGAAATAAAATTATTGCATAAGGCAACGAAACTGAAGCACAAGGCCAAAGAACGAAAAGGAAACACAGCTTCCTTTAGAATCATAGAGTAATTCTCTATAAAAGGGAATTGCATTCTAACCTCTACGCCATCATGGCTCTTTTAACTGTTATAAGTTCAACTCCAACCCTCTCTATGGACAGAGAAAAGTGAGGTTGAGTCTGCACTTCACACACACACACACACACACACACACACACACACACACACACACACACACACACACAC